ACTCGAAATTGACCTTTGACTCAAAATAACGCACATGCGCGTATTCGAAATAATGCGCAGGTGTTTAAAATAACATGCAGGTGTGCGTTATTTCGCGGTTTTACGGTACAAGTCTTAATTAATTTTAAAAAATATTTAAAGATTTCTTAAAAGATAATTATAAATAAAATTTTACTAAAATATAAATTAACTAACTAATTTACAAAATACTATTTTTGATAGATCATGGTATTGTTTCTAATAGATAAGAAAATTAATTTATATACTGTTTCTAATAGGTTCTGAAAAAGAGTCTCTAAAATATTATACTATATAATAAAAAATATTAAAATTATAATTTAGAATATTATTAACCATAACCTATGGTGACAATCACCACTATCATATAATCGCGTAATAACCAATCAAACTTAATTATATCATAATTATTATATTTTTAATTTTAATTTTTTTTTTAATCAAATAAAAACTAATTAATTATATATTCTATTATATATATCATATATTAATCATATAGCTTACTTTAAAGTTACTCATTGTGGCTGTCGCCTCCGCTTTGCATTTTCTTTCTAAACATTTAATACAGTCTAATTCTAACCTTATTTCTAAACCTAACCTTAAATCTGATTTCTTTTAACGTCAAAAAGATCAACAACCTATCACGAAAAGCATAATGTAAAGTATACTAGCACAATAAATTAAACTAACAACGATGAACAAACTGTCAAAACACAGTGTGACCAAAGGTAAATATATGACAAGACTTGGTATCAACGATAAAGTTTACTATCAATGGTGCTAGAAAGACAAGATATATGGCTACCTATTCTGAATGACAATTATTTGAGAATAAAAAAGAATTGGTTAGAGTTGCACAAAAGCTAAACATGAACTAAAAGCAAAAAATAAACAACTTATCTCTACGTTGTAAAAAGGAAAATTCATTCAAGATCGACACTAGAATGGCTTGGGTTGATAGACCAAAATCATCTGTATCTGCCAGATTTGGCAGAAGCAACAGAGAAAGGACAAATCTACCAGATATAGCATGTTTGGTAAAAAAAAATCAGACAGATATAGCATATACGGAGGATATAGTAGAAAAATACAAAGCAATTAGTAAAAGAGAAATGTATTTGAACACTGTAAAAACCATTGTAAATAAAGCAGATAAGCTTAGCTTAACTCAGCCTACCCTTGAGTTAAAATATAAACGAATAAGTATTAGTAGTCCTCTTTGATTGTAATATTTTTATCAAGCTTTGTATATCATATTGTTTTTTCTTCGTAATTACCACAGTATAATAAAACACTCTATTCTCTGACCAAATCAAACCACACTTCGATCGAAACCTACCTATTAGGGTATAAAGAAAGGATTTTATTTGATTAGGTTTTTGTGTAGTAGTGACCCTTGTTAGACTAGTTTTTAGTATTATACTATTTTTCACTATCACAACATACAACCAACATCGAATCCGATGCCAGTTAAAAAAACATTCTAATCATAACTGCCTGACAAAGAAAACATAAAAATGCAGCCTAAAAAATAAAAAAAGATAAGCATTATATAACGAATCACATCACACCAGTACACATCAAACTGAACAAAACAAGTATAACATGACAAAACCTGAAGATCGCTATTACCTAAAAAAAAAAATTAGTTAGTACCTCACAAACACGAAATGTAACACTATAAGCAAAAAAAAAAAGAAACACTTATCTATACACAAGCCAAAGGCAATAATCTATATGGCTCAAGAATGATAATAGTTCCAACAACACAACCTCAAAACGGACAATGACTCCAAGACAAACGATTACTCCAGGATGAATGACAATTCTAGAGGTGAACGACGACTCCAATACAAACGATAACTCCAATACAAATGATGACTCCATTCCAAATATATGATAACTCCAAAGGCAGACGATGACTCCAGAAATGAATGATAGCTCCAATTATAAATGACTTCAAGACAAACAGTGACCCAAATTTTATTACAACAGGTGAAACTCACGCTGTGAATTAATAAAATCTTCTACAAAGATCAAACATGAATTTCACCCTACATTTTATTTAAATTTAACATTACACGATCTTATTGTGTGATGTGGTGATCATCACCATGGGTGATTTTAATTATAATTCTATAATTTATTTTTAAAACTCTATCAGAACAGTACTCAAATAAATTTTTTTTAACTCCATCAAGATCAGTATTGTCAATTCATTAAAAGTATTTTTGCAACTAATTTATTAATTAATTAAAAAATTTAGATTTTAATATTAAAATTAAATATATAAAAAATTTATGTAAAATATTAGTTCTAAATTAAAAAGATCAGATTATAAAACTAATAAAAAAATTACAAGGTTAAATTTTAAAAGTCTATATTAACCGTAATACTATCAAATTTTGTATAATTTTCATATTGCTGAATACCTTCTGGGTACCACTGAACTGACATAGTACGTATAATATTCGATTTCTTAAATTTAGTGAATTAGTCTAATTATAAAGTTTTTTGTATTTCAAGATTGCATAGCAAATGTTCCAATAGCGATCTTTTGCATTCACAATTATGATTTGCATGATCTTGTAAATCTTAATATAGAAATCAAAGCCTTCACATGTACGAGATAATCTTGAGTTTCGGTCATCGGATAGAAAGAGCTGTAAAGAATAAAATAGAAATAAAAAAGAAATAAGATAACGTAATAAAAAACTGGCAGATTTAATTTACTTTAATTATCATTATATCAATCGATTACACATTCATTGCAGTATCGAATTTAGAATAAATGAGTTGCTATTTATAACAAAATTAATTTGTATCAACTAGATAGCTGTGCGACGCCATCATGCAAAACCAGGAACGGAACTTAACTAACTACTCAAGATTTGCTTAAATGCAGGAAAACAATTTTTCTTTTAAAAATTTAGATCGTATATAAATATAAAGTTTTTATACTTGCTATATGTCTTCAAATAGGTTTTACCACAAAATCCCGACATCCAAAATCTCGACAGGTCATAATACTGGCATCACCCGATGTGACAATTAAAAATTTGAAGTCTAACAATGATTGTTAATGTGATTAGTAATCGCTAAATACTAATTGTCACGTCGGGATTATGGTTTTCGAGATTTTGGTTGTCGGGATTTTGTGGTAAAACCG